GTAGCTCGTTTGTAGTGTCTGCAATACAGGACTGGAACAATTTAAATTGTGAAATAAGGGAGCAGCCGAGTGTAAAATGTTTTAAGCCCGCCTTGAGAAAGCAATTTCTACAAGATCAAGCTCACTTGCCTTACTTTTATCCATAATTTTTATTGAACTTTATTATGTATTTATTTATTCAATTTTTATCATAGAATTATTACCTGTCCATTACTTATAGTTTAATAGCTAGAGTCGCTCTCGGCTATCGCCTCGAGCGACTCTTACGCTTCTTTCGTGCTTAGCAACCTCCCGCGTGCATCCATGACTCAATAGTGTACGCTGTGGTGTTTACCATTTGTTAACTACAGCTTGCTTCGTGTCACCTTGAAGAGGTTAGTCCTGCGGAGGCGGGACTTCCTCTATATAGATCCGGGACACTGAATTAAAGCCAGTGTTGGCGTCACCAGGACTGATATTCAAGCCACAGTTTCCGAGATTCAACCCCACTCGCACCACCCCCATTGGAACTTTCTCGCACACTCCTTCGATGTGGCGAACCCGGTGAATGTCTTTCACCGGATTTGGTGGGCCACCAGAACGCATGTGAGCTATTCCGTCGATAGGTAAGGGTGCACTGCATTCAGCACTGTTAAAGGTGAAATACCACCTCTTGCAGCAATGGTTGCAGTTGTAGATACGAAACGCACCGTTCCAAAAGACTCGCAAACCAGTCTTATTTGAATTCTTCTTGAAAACACACACCTAGCAATATCGAAGGAAAGGGAGAAATTAAGGACGCTCGTGGAGGATGCAGGGTAAGGGTGACCTGGATGTTAAACCAAGGTCTAAATCACCCGATTCTTGTTCTGCCTTTGTTTACCTCAGTTAAGTACTTCTTGCGTATCTTTATCAGCACCGTCCTAGCCGAAGTCTCCTTCGCAGCCCTTTTTTTGTGGCGTTACGCATGCGTGACGAGACCAAACAACAGCCGCGAAGGAAACTATCAACTGAGCTGCGAAATCAAACACTGAGAGCGAGGCCAATTTAAGTGGGTTCTCCCTTTCCGTAATTAATTTCGTTTTCACTGGTGATCTGTAGTAGCGCCCAACTAGTAGTATCTGGACGGCTTCAATTTTATAAGGCTTCTTTTCTGTTCTAGCTCAAGTTGCAGCTCACCTGCGGGTAGCATTTCTGTTCTTGAATTTTATCCGCAGCTCAAAATAAATCCATTTATTTAATTGTGATAATTCAAAGTACAGGAAACAGGCTAACCCTTTCAAACGTGAAGTGACCAGTTCGCGATCGATTTAGTTGTACATCTTTTTGATTGACAGGGTGGCACGGTCTATTTTCACCCAATCACAGAGCAACGAAATTCGTAAAGCAAAACCAATCATCTTCCTTCTTGGATAAAATTTGATGTTCAGATTTAAATTGCCCGGTACACCGATAATTTACCCTGAAAATAATATTTACCGTGATTAGCCCATTATCTCTTTCGTCTCTCAGGTTGTTGTAGACACACTGTTTCCAGTTACCTCCATGAGGTCCAGGAGGGCCTTTAGTTCCCTGCGGTCCCGCTGGGCCTGGTCCTCCTGGATATCCATTCACTCCTGGTGACCCGGCGGGGCCCTGGGGACCAGTAGCGCCTGGTGGACCCGCAACACCTGCCGGTCCCGCGGAACCGGGAGAGCCTGGAATTCCCTGTGCACAGCAAGATCCTGTTGTGCATGACTGAGCACATTTCTTGGAAGCAATTGTTAATGACATGGATAGTGAGATTCGCATAATCAAAGCCGAAGCGATTGAACTGAGAGCTATATGAGCTCGCGATCAATTCAAGTAACCAAACGTTTGGGCCGTATTCTAATCGCTTTTCAGCTAGGCTGGATCTATTTTGACCAAACAGTCATCGATAATACGAAGACAGATTTTAAACGAAAGGATATCTCAATGAGCCTTGATTTATTTACGTGTCAAGCATGCGCGGTAGTGGAAACCTACTCTCGACTTTCCCTTCATTCTTGTCAGTAGGGACTTTAGGGACCTTACACAATCAGGACGGCAACGCCAAGGAAGACTTCGATTAAAAAATGAATTTCTACTCTTATTCAGAATTTCAAAAATGGTTGCAGGAGCTTACTGTCTTATACGGCTCAACAGCTCAACTTCAGCATGACGTATAAAAGTAGCGTTGAGTTCCAAATGGAAATTAAAATAATTTGCCGTCGCGATTTCGTTTCGCAGACGACGCAAATTTTGGCGATTTCACTTTGTTGTTTTGCATAGGACGGCTAAGAAATGTACAAAGTTTCAAAACGCACGTGCTGAGCTATTGTTCTGCCAATTAGATCTCTTGTTTTTCCACGTCTTCGTTGCCGTCGTGGTTGCGTAAGGTCCCTAAAATTAAGCAAACCACGACGGCGACGGTAACGAGAACGAAGAAAAACAATAGATCTAATTGGCAGAACAATAGCCCAGCTTGTGCGTTTTAAAACTTTGTACATTTCTTAGCCGTCCTTTGCAAAACAACAACGTGAAATCACCAAAATTTGCGTCGTCTGCGAAGCGAAACCGCGACGGCAAATTAATTTAATTTACATTTCGAACTCAACGCTACTTTTTTGCATTATGTTGAGTTTGAGGTCTGGCGCCGTATGAGACGGTTAACACATGCAGCCATTTTCAAAATTGTAACTGAATGTAGAAACTCATTTTTTAATCGACGTTTTGCATGGCGTTGCCGTCCTGACTGCTTAAAAGGGAGCTTTAGCAACGGCGACGGCAACGGCAACGAAAACGTCGTGTCAAAATCTAACTTTTCGTTTTTGTAACTCTTTCGAGATTATTCCGATGTGTTTAACTTGGAAAATGCTGGCGAACTATTGAGGGACTATATCACTACGAACGGCGTTAAAGTAAGGAAAAAGAAAGAAAAATTAACCGTCGTGCGCTCACGTTCTGGAGAAAACCTAAAATTTGGTAAGTTCACGTTGTTGTTTTGCCGAGAACGGCAAAGAAATGTACCAAAATGTTAAACGCACGTGCAGGGCGATTGTTTTTGCTCATTAAGCCTATTGTTTTCTGCCGTTGCCGCTCTCGTTGCTAAAGCTCCCTAAAGTCCCTACTTGTGGGGAAGGGCGGAAGGGGGGGGAGCCTGAGAATTCTTCTATTTTCTCTCCTTGTTATCTTCAATGGTATTTGAGCCAAACTGTGAATTTACCTTCTGAGGCTGACCATTCCCATTACATGGAACTGTTGCAGTCACATAATAAGAGCTAAATATCAGAAAAACAGATGATATGGCAAGTCGAAGAGTCGTTACTGTGACCATCGTCTTCACAGTAGAAAGATATCTGTGTAAAGAACAAATAGTGATCTGAATAATTCGTTTTGATCGATTAACAGCTTTATTCATACACGGTTAAAACATGATTCCTTCAGCATAGTTTACAAGTGGAACATCTAATTTTTCTTTACTGATCTTACCAGTAAAATAAGATAAAGCCTGTCATGTCCATAGGCTGCATTTTAAGGATGCTGCGGCTATGATGACGTAGTCTGCGTTTGAATCAATTAAAGAAGCTACAGAACATAGATCTTGGGATAGGCTCCTCCATAATTCAGCAATTTCTTTGCGAATAATTGGTTCGGTGGTGTGGAAGAGCCGATTTGTTTTCGGAATTCCTCAATCGGCTGGGCCGGGAGTAACATCATTTCGAAATAAAAATCGAGAATTTAGACATACGGGAGTCATTTCTTGTAGAGTTTTGTACACAATAATGGATGTAAATTCTAGCCTTTGATGATTTAGTCTACGCCAACTTATTGCCCGGAACAACTCATCAGTATCAAGTTTCTTTTTTGTAGCTCGTTTGTAGTGTCTGCAATACAGGACTGGAACAATTTAAATTGTGAAATAAGGGAGCAGCCGAGTGTAAAATGTTTTAAGCCCGCCTTGAGAAAGCAATTTCTACAAGATCAAGCTCACTTGCCTTACTTTTATCCATAATTTTTATTGAACTTTATTATGTATTTATTTATTTGTTCAATTTTTATCATAGAATTATTACCTGTCCATTACTTATAGTTTAATAATGTAATTTTCATTCATATATAGTAGAGGGCCACAAGTTTATTAGTTTTAAACTATTATGTGCTACCCTATTTAAATAAAGACAACAACTACTACTGCAGCAGAGTAAGAGCTGCACGGCTTTGGAGCTGGTGCAGCTTTTCAGGAAAGGCCAGTACCGCAGTTGCCCAAACAACATTACAGTAATCAAAATGTGGTTGGATTAATCTACTGAAAACATCTAATAATACATTTCTTTTGGCCTTCGCACTCACTAAACTACATAATTGCACAAGAGCACACACATATCGAGTGTTATCTATGCGAGCGCGAGGAAAGCGCGAGGGGTGAGACTTACACGCGTGACGCGCGTTGCGTGTAGTTTTTCTCACGCTCGCTTCGCGCTTACGTTCACTCCGGCTGAAAAAACGAAAAACGAGGCCTATCTGGCAGGTTAATATCCGATCATAAGTTATTGTTTGTTCATTATCACAAATAACCTTAAGTAAACATCCGATATCAAATCTGAACAATTTTTCAGTGTTTGGTTACTTGATAAAGCCAAGACAGAAACCAATTTGATTTAGATATTTACTGAAGCGAATTTCTCAGATTTGGTCATTAGATAAACCAATATTGTGCGCCTTTATTGTTTGATAAAACCAAGTTTACATTTCTTGTACATTTGATGGAAAATTATTACAAATAACGAAATTGCTCGCTGTGCAAAAGATCTTACACCGAGGAATAAAGACAGGCGCGGCGAAACTGGCAAATGTAGCTCCTCAACCAAGAAGAACTGGAAATATGTTTCACTGTGATTTGGTTGGACAAATTAAAGAATTTCTCACTGGTTAAGAAATCCTGGTTAAATCTCTGGCAACACTCTGACGGCTTTTAGTATTTCTAGTATATTCGATTAGTCTACTCGTATGTTAAGAACTTACCAGAAAGTTTAGGCGAAACCTCTTATTAGAGTGTCTGTCTGAAAGAAAACAATCGTCCAGGAGTCATTCACAGCAGTCCTGTCTAATGTGGTACCTGTTTAATAGTAGTTCTTTTAACTTGGCGGCGATTTGTATCACAAAAACAATTGGATCAAACATTACTCACCTCCCCTGATCACAAACGGTATGGTCTACGCAAAAAGAAAAATAAGATACCGTTTTTATCACAGGCAGTGACGTCACTTTTTACTGCTCGATTCTGATTGATCTATCTTCTTTATTTAGTGACCCGTCGGTCAAAAGGTAGACTGTCTGGGTCTGAAAGTCTCGCAAAGCGCTCTTGATAGAGGTGGATATCTTCGAATTTTAGGCAAGAAGGTAAAAGCTTTACAAGGCTCGTTGCCTGTAAAACGGAGAATACATCTGGTAATCTAGCTCGATACTGTGGCCTAACGATACTCAATGCTTTTGAAAGTTACAGAAAATAATTATATGAAAAAAAAGAGAAAAACGATATTGACTAACGAGCGATAAGAAACAATTTTATCTTTATTGGTAAACTACTGAACAGCAATTAGAGTAACCGCTGAATGCTAAGCCTGAGAAACGAATTCACTTTTCAGGCTTACCGCTTAGATGATTATGCACTGCTTTTCCTACACTCGCAGTCTGACAAAAGGTAACCCTCTCTAAAACAAGTCGTATTGTCTAGGGAAAATTGTCTCATTTTGAACTTACTCGTATTTTAATCACATAAAAAAATAGATTTTGGTACGATTAGATTGTATATCTTGTGACTTAGCTGTCAAAAATTGACTTTGTGGCTGACTTTCAAAGTATGACATTACTTGTTTTGATATCATACGTTCCCCTAAAGCTCATTCTATTTTGTACCTGACCTTATGTGGTATTCCTAGGACTGATAACATCAAATCCAAACTTCTTTTTTATTTTTGAGGGAGGGGTAATTCATTTTCCACTGCCGCTTTTCTCGTAAATTGTGGCCCACTTCGAACTATTCATGAGCAACAAGTGACTCATGCCAATGACAGATCCAAGGGGGTGGGGGAAGGAAGTTTTTTTGTGTGTGTAAACCTGCTGACTTTTCTTCCTTCTGCAGTTTTTTTTTTTACCCCCAATATGTGGGGGAGGGGTAGGCCCCCCTAGGCCCCTCCCCTAGATCTCCCACTGCATGCAACTAACTTCAAAAACACCAATTCTATACATTACTGTCTGATATACAAAATATTGCACTGGGAGTGAATTTTTCCAAAAATTATACTAAATTTCCCATTCATCTCTGTTGTTCTTCAGCAGAACATATCTTAGAGAGCAAGATGGTCATGGGTGTGACATCTTCCTTGAACAGCTCCACTGTGTTGGCAAATTTGTTTTTTATGTTGCGTTTCCTCATTGCAGCATGAAGAAGTATTACTGCCAAAAAAGAAGAAACAATTTGAATGAAAGTTTGTGTGTGAACACTGATTGCAAGGTAAAGGAAAAGGGAAGCCACATATGGACTCTGAAAGAGTTCATTTTCTACCATGCTGCAGATCCCTCCTTTGGCTTAAGCTAAAGCTGGTAGAGCAGGGCTGTGGTCTACCAGCGCCTGGTGGCCCCTGGTGCCTTACTTTTGTTCTTGGGCATCTTACTTTTGGCACCTTACTTTTGTTCTTCATAAAAGCATATGATGGGAACCCTGGATTTCACAGTTTCTGAGCACTGGGCTCCCTTCAATTTCTCTTAGAACACAGCCTTGTTGGTGTAGAGTAAGGAACCCAAACTGAACTTTAAAAGCTTATCTTTTGAAGGTCAGATGTTAGTTTATTTTCTCAGACAAAGGGCTGAGAAGGAAAAATTCTTGATGTTTATCTACCTTAATCAACCTCTAGCCAATTAAAATTAAAGTGATTAAGTTGCCAATTCACACAGCATAGCAGTTTCTTTAAAAAGTAATAATATTCTTCATAGAAAAAAAGAGGATCCTTTCCCCAAGATAATTATAAGTATCATCAGCTGATGGATAGTACAGGCTCCAAACAATGCACTGAAAAATGTATTTAGCAAATCCTGCTCAAGCGAGTTTGGGAAAAGAATTCTCTTTTTAATACTCCTTAAAGTTTTATTCTGATACCTTTGATGAATATCTTAAGTCGCCCTAAAGACCATCCTACCTACTATTGGCACTGTCACACCCCAGATGAACACGAGTATGGACCCCAGGGTGTAAATAACAAGCATTGCTAAGACAACCACAGCAACAGGTAATAAGGAAGGGTACTGTCTCTTCAGCTGTGCAAACCTTGGCTCTCTGCTTTCAGCAATGCCAAACAGCACAAAGGCAACAAAAAGGGTGACAGCACCAATGATTAAATCCTTTGGATATAATGTCCTAAGGAAAGGAAAATGTAGACAGAAAAACTTCATTGATTGCATCTCACCTAGAAAATTGATGATTACAATCTATGGTGTTTCTATATTTGTAAGTAGGTTTATACTGTCCCACTGAATGAGTACCAGTTGTAAAAAAAAAACAAAACGGTTAGTTGCTAATATAAGCAGGAGTTTCAACGAGTCTTGAAGAAGGAAGGTACCTGTAGGAAAATAGGTGGGCAGGTTTTATATCTTCATGCAGCATATCACAACATAATAAACACTTTGGATCTTTACAGAAGCTGACTTCAAGAATAATTAATAATACGTTCAAAAATCATGTTTTGTACCAGATTTCCTCAGAGGGTGATATTAAATAACCCGCATTTGATTTTGAAAAATATTACATATTACTTTTCCCCTCCTCTTCGTAAGTCGTTTTTGTCACTAAGAATTATCTCGTTTTATAATGATGGGGCTGTAGCAACGTATGCTAAAATGCATTGACGCTAAATCCTAGTGCCTCAAAAGGTTGATTGTCCGAAGTTAAACTACTGGTAACTGAGTGATACATTAAGTTGGCTCACCCGACTACAATGACAATTAGAATTGCACAAATGAAGTAGTTGGTCTGATAATAAATGAGATTATTGATCATCCTGTTCTCCATTCTTTCCCTGTCGTGGAATGTTGGAGCAGTGAACTGGGCGTCACTAACAAAGTCTTGAAGGGATCGAAGAGGAGGGAGTTCAACCGCCATTTTGCTCCGCGTGTCACTTGAGAAGCCGCTGAAAATCTGTTTATCTTCGTGGGCTCAATATGTCACAGCCCGTTCCTTTGACAAGTACTAACGTGAAAATGGTTGCTGGCTAGCTATGGGGAAGAGTTTATAAACAGTTTATAATCTCTTGCCCTGTATAGTTTGGTTTTATCAAGTAAGTTGATAAAGTGAATTGACCACTGTAAAGAGATTCTGAAGCTGACATTTCCATTGTTAGCCTTTCGTCAGAGCAAATCTTGCAGTTTGTGTGAGGTTTGAGCTAGGCTATTGGTGGAAACTTGGCAACATGAAAAACAAGAACATACGAGTTGAATAAAAAACGTTCCTTGAAAGAGTGAGGGATGAGATTGCTGATTTGAAAGACAAATTTTTGTTCTAAGGTTTTGTGGCTTTCCATGCCGCTTACAGGCAGAGAAAGGCTGCAGACTGCAATGTTGCTCTAAGATGACTAGGAAGATTTCAAAAAGTGTCTAGTAACTTGGTCATCCCCTTCTAGTATAAGAAACTAAGAACAAGGAATGGAATTCTTAGAGCATGTTAAAATCTACAGGAAAAAATTCTTCCAGTTGAATAGGCCATTTTACAGTTGTGTACTTAGTTGCCAAGTCTTTGATTCAGAGTGAGGCTGAAGGTGACCTTGTTGTGATAGAGACCTGTATCTACTTAGCATGATAACAAAGTCATTTACATTTGAAAGGCAGCAAGGTTTGTATCACAACAAGGTCAACCCTAGCCTCACTCCCATTCAAAGGCTTGGCAACCAAGCACACAACTGTAAAATGGACTATTTGTCTCAGAAAAAGATACCTATCTCTTTCAAGTTTCATTTCCAAAAAATTAAATTTCTTGTGAACTTGACTTGTTGGTACCGGTGATAGCAAAACATTTGGAATTTTATTTTAAGTACGAATAACTATAATGATATACTTTTTGAAGACATATTCATCTACTTAATGCCGTCGTTAAACATGGATTTTCATTGTTTGACCAAAAGTTAAAGACAATCAGAGGTACTTTAAGGTTAAGAAAAAATAAATCATGAAACAGCTGTACAGATTAATACATAAAATTATAATTGTATTAAGAAATGTAAATATTTCCTGACTGATTGACAGGAAAAATTAAAAAATCAACATCATGATTTTACATGTTATCAGAACAAACACAACTGTGGGTAAAATTTGAAACTGGTGTATCTTAGTTGACACAATAATACCTCTTACATGAGGCTCTTAGAACAGAACCTTCTTAGTACCCTGGAAGACAATGAATCCAGAATAATGCGCTTAGTTTGTAACTTTAATCAAAAGCCCAATTCTTTGATTGGATGTCAAACACAACCAAGAGCATCTTGTCACACTTCATCCAATGAAGTGAGGGTCACAAAGACACTTAAAAAGCAACCTGCAGTAGAGGTGTCTTAAGGGGGGAGTTCAGGTTACAAGCTCGCAATTGTTTATCCGCCCAGCCAGGTTTGATTTAGTGTAAGAGTGGGCGAAGGGAGAGGCCCCACCCCTCCCCTCTTCTTTATTTTGACCTTCATTCACCTGCTTCAAACAACTTTCTTTCTCTACCCAGCCTTCCTCTTCTGTAAAGTTCAAAGATGGGAGCTATAATTTGAACCAAGAAAATACTGAACACTCTATCTCTTGCCAAAATGTTGCCAGCTCGGCAGGCAACTAAATAGCTTGGAGAACATCTGTCTTACAGGGTACTAGACATGTGAGGAAATTCAGTGATGTACATAGTACAAGTCAAAACTTCCAGGGGAAGTAATTTGCATGAGGCATAATGATTTTCAGAACTACCATTTCTAAAAACAGCCGTCTCTGAGAATTACAATTGCCTTTTGTCTAGTTGAACTCAAAACCCAATTCATGATACACCTTTTTCAGTGATATCAAGTGACTCTTTATCTCTCAAAATATATTAGGAATGTGCAAATTGTAGCACATATTAAAATTATAGCTGGTGGTCACCCATCACCACCATTGCAACATTTGCAATGAGCATTTCATGGAAAAAAATTACTGGTACTGGATGAATGTCAGAATTTGATATTTTTCCTGATTTTGTTGTGCTGATCAATTCAAACTTCAACATACCCCGCCCCCACCACCACCACTTTGGCAACCCACAGGCATTTGCCTGTAGTCCATGCCCAGAGAATAGAGCATTTAACCAAAGGCCTTCCTGGGAATGGGGAGTTTGAACCTTGTCTGGGTGGGGTTGGGAATTTGAACCTGAAATATCTTTCCAGTGGAGAACAAATGTTTTATTTTCTGACATGGAGGAGTTAAAATGCAAAGCAAGGTGAACAAACCAATCTTCTGAAGTTCAATGCCCAAGGGTTGTCCAGGGAGTGGGGTGAATGTTAAAGATTTGAACTGATTGACGCATTACGTTGAAAGGCACTCCGCGAGAGCTTTCCTAGAACAACAAATGAAATTATGTACAAGTTACTGTGAAGCCATAAAAGGCCAGAAAAACAAATCACTGGTATTTTGTAGGGCACATTCTGAATTATCATGTCCAAATGGAAGCCTGGCATGCTTATCCCTCACAGAAAAGAATGCACTTGTGAGAAGAAACATGTTTGCGCAGCCAGTCATGAGCAAAGGTATCATTCCGATACCTTGGAAAGAAGGGAAAAACACCTGTAAGAAAACAATAAATAAAATCAAAGATAATTGCTCCTCAAAAGTAAAGTACCAATAACTCAGAGACTTGAAAATGAAAACAGGTTTTCACAGGGTTGCCAGGAAAAACTGTTGCCAACAGTACTCAAACTGTGTCCAACCAAACTATATGAATGAGAAACAGGAATCTGTGTTTTGATACAAGGGTAACTGAGAAATCTGACACCTGTAAGACCCCAGTGATTACCTCAATGCTTTGATCAAAAAGTAACCTTAAAATGATGATTTCTACATTCAGTTGGAGATGACCAAACAATCACAAGATAGTGAAGTTGTTAGCCTCTGAATTTAGGCCACAGCAGCCTAAAGTTACATATGCCTTTACCTTTGTCATGCCGTTTTTGGTGCCTTCTCAGTTTCCCTGGAGCATCAAAACATGCCAAACAACCTCGCTCTTTACACCTGTAACCATAATCTTATCATTAGCATTTGAAAAATATTAAATCAACATATACCAATTGCTTTAGAGGGTTTACCTTTATGGGAAAGAAGACCTCTCTAAAAACTTGCCTCACCTCCACCATGTGGCTTTGTAGGTCAACTAGTATCTGGTGACGAAGGCTTTGGATGCCTTCAAAGCCTGAATTTTTTCAGGCTTCTTTTCTGCAATTGCTTTTAAACCCTTTAAATCCAAAAAGTGATTAACAAGTAATTTCTCCCACTAACATGCATACATTATCCAGCAGACAGGTAATGAGAATACTCAAACTCATCAGGTGGAAGTTGTTATCTTGATCTAAAACCAAATTCTTACAAATTATTTACAAGGAAATGTGTAGCAGCTAGAGGGGAGAATTAATTTATAATTAGTTCTTTGGAGTTAAAGTGTTAAATTGCAGTCCATCTGCCTACAAGGCTCATTTATTTGCTTAATTTTTATCTGCAGGTCAAATGAAACTTGTTTCATTAAAAGATTGTGAATAGTTCTGTTTGGTCTACTCACTTAAAGGGCTTTTCACAAGTATGGACCAGCTGATGAATTTTCAGTTGATTACATTTCGTAAATTGTTCATCACAACCATTAACATTGCACTGTAAAAGTAACAGACATCAGCAAATAAATTATTAACATCATAATATAATTTAAGAGGAAAGCCATATGATTTAAGACCAATTTGCTTTCTAGTCTCTTATAACTGATAGTAAATGGTATATACCATAAAGATGTTTAACCGCTTTAACTCCCAGAAGCGATTAACTTGTAACTTCTCCTCATACTATCCATACATTATCCAACAAATGGGTAATGAGAATATTCAAACTTATCAAGATCAGGGCCCGACACTAACTTTTCAACTTACTAGCCAAGTGGCTGGTGACATCTTAGATGTTTTTACATGTTATGACATTTTCAGTCTGTTTACTAGCCAAACCGGCTAGTGGAAATTGAAAACCACTAGCCAAAACTGAATTTCTTTTAGTCTGTGGCTAGTGGGCTACCGTTGGTGTCTACCCTGAAGAGGAAATTTTTACCTTCATCTAACACTGGATTTTCATAACTTATTTACAAGGATATGTGTAGCAGCGAAAGATGAGAATTACGGTAACAATCAGATATGGGGAGTTCAAAGATTAAATATTACACAAGTACAATCCGAAAAAAGAACTCTTGGGTAAGTCTGAAAGAATGCTTTAATGGGAAAATTCTAACATCCAATCTGCCAAAACAAAATGATTGGGATTTAAAGCTTGCACCAAGGCTCGACACTAATGGTAGCCAACTAACCATAGACTAGTAGAAATTTTATTTCCACCACCTAGTTTGGCCAGTAAACAAACTGAAATTGTTGTAGCTTCTAAGTTGTCACTAGCCACTTGGCTAATAAGTTGAAAAGTTGGTGTCGAGCCCTGCTGCACACTATGAAGGCTTCTCCCATTCATTGCACTACTATCAATTTGCATCATAAAGGTTCTTGTGATCTATTGAGTACCCATAATGCCCGTCAACTTTGCAAGCATTCAGAGTGCTTAGAAAAATAAAAGTTGGGTTGAGAATGGCCATAATGTTTGCTACCTTTCGTCTTAAAGATTTATCCCAGTATCTTACAGATCTGATCACACAAACTCATCACTGCAATAAAATTAAATTCTTCTTGTCGAAAGGGTTTACCAATAGAAAGCTTTCACAGGGTTTTAAAAATAATTGGAATAATTAAGTATATATCAGGTGATAAATGATGGTGGCTATTGAAGGCATGCTTCCCAACTGCATCATAATGGAAATGCAAAGCTGGAAACCAACTTACCTTAAAGGGCCTATTATGAGCTCGCTGCTCATGGCGCTTGGAGTTGTGTTTTGTTATAAATAACATATCACATTGGCTGCATCTGAGAAGGCCAAAACAGTTATACCTGTGAGCAGTTCTTGATTTGTATTGATTTTTCCTTGCTAATTATTCTTAAATGTGAGTGACTGTAATATAAATTCCCTTCAAGGAAAGTTATGGTAGGTTGGGATAGTAAGTCAGGAGTAAAAGCAATTTTAAGTTTGTCTTCTCTCAGTCTCCACATTCCAACTGTTCCTAAAAGGCTTTTGTGTAAAGCACCACATTTTCCCCATTCTGTCACTTTGATTAAGATAAAGTTTACTGCAACAATTCAATAGAAAAAATTTCTTTTTTCGCTGCTTAGATTACCGTAGCCTCTTCCTGATTCTAACTTAGTAAATTTGAAGAACAAACTAGTTCACCCATTCAACAATTCACTCCTTAGCCCTTCGACCTCTACGAGTGACCAGCACCTAATTTCTCCCCACATTCATACTGCTGAATCACATATTAGGGTCAAGAGAATAAAGGAAATGATCAGCAACTAAAGAAGCTCTGGATTGTTAAACAAATTCTCCTTGTAAGCACCTTAGGAAATGTATAGAGAGCAGCATGGAGAATATATGCATACAGATGTCAGCGGGTAAAGGGTTGATAATTCACCTCTAACCTATCATGGCTCCTCTGTACATGTTTCAACATTTCATATCCATATCCTCATGACATTTTCAACAAGTTACCATTGTTTCATTTTGACAGTAAAATTTAAATTTCTTTGTATTTCACAACGTTTATGTATTCAGCATTTCCCATTTAAAAACTTACTTGAATAATTTTTCTCCACCATGTGATAACAAGTGCCTTTTTAAATGGACAGATCTCACAAACGATTTGTTACATCCTTCATGGGGGCATATGCATGGTCTCTGAAATTACAAATGTTTTAAGAAAACTGCAAGGTGAGAATCTGCCACTGACCCACATGAATAAGCAGACACTAGCAATATAGCCCTGAAAATATCTTCTCAACCCTTTCATTCCAGAGAGTGGAAAATAAGCAGGTCCTCCAAACAGTATTAATGAAATGATAATAGGAAGGTGTTATGGATCTAGAAAATATCATGTGAGGATATTGTTTCATTTAACACCATTTTCTCCACAATTGGCAATAACATCACAATCTTGTTGGCCATTTTACTGTTGTCAATGAGAGTACAAACAACACTGCTCAAGTCAACATTTTATGCAATATGTCACGCATTGAAAGAACTGTTTTATTTAATGGTCTGTACTCTTATCAACAATGATATTTATCATTATACTGTGGTCTCACAATGGTCAAAATTTGTTCTGGATGCACTCCACTACTTCTCATGAGTCCACAATGTGTCTGGTCTTTTCGTCCAAGAGTCTTTTCGTCCAAGTCTTTTTTTCCAAAAGTATTTTCACCTAAGTCTGTTCGTTTACTTGTTAGGTCTTTTCTCGAAGAAAATAAATAGTCATTATATTATATTATATCATAGATAACGCTATATAAAGAACTTATCAGTGCAAGCCATTGCCCTTTTGGTTCAAGAATCTTTGTTTTTCAAATTCAACGTCATGAATTTAAAACACAGAGAATGAATGAAGTTGTAATGCAATATATTTTATTAAATAGTAGCAAAAATAAAGACTTGCTTGCCGTTTAATTATTTCACGCGAAAGAAATGGGAATATTAGGCTTGTTGTTCAGCGTCTACTGAGCGTAAAAGGCAACGGAATGTAACATCACCATGTGTCCGACATACCCAAATGGCGGTGGCTCACAACAAGTTCTTTATATAGCCTTATATAGCCTTATCTAGCCTTCTAAAAGTTATTTACTTTGCTTAGAGAAAAGTCTTAACAAGTAAACAAACAGATTTAGGTGAAAATACTTTTGGACAAAAAGACTTGGACAAAAAGACTTGGACAAAAAGACCTTAATTCGTCCACAACATTTTGACCACTGTGACGATCAAGCTAAACGACTGTCGAGTTTTGTTAATTTCTGGGTAGTAACATTAGAAGAAAAAGGATTTTGTAGTATCATCATATCAAATTGAGTGGCTTACTTGACCAACAACTATCGCTGCATTCAAATTATGACGAGTTTGGACAAGTATACGGTAAAGTAGGCAACTAATCGCTTGAAAAAAAACACACAAAATATGATATATCCTTGATAATTGGAAAGATAGCTAAAATTTTCACAGAGATCTGATTAAATAAATTAAATGGGCCTTAGGTAAAAAATTTGTTTTCAAAATCAAGAGGAAAAATAATCCCTGATTCAGGTAAGGCATGGGTCACACTTGGCAAAGTTTGGTGTGAATGTGGTCACTTTGGTGTAAAAATCTGTCATCGGGGCACATTGCCTAATGCGAACCTAACTTTTCCAGTTCACAAAAACTTTGAAAACTGGCCAAAACATCAAAGACGCCGTAGCGCTTGGATGGGGCAGGTAGATTTCGGAAAACTCGGGCTAAACAATGGCTATAACAGCAGTAACTGTCATCGCTTGTCAGTAAACAGCAAACGACTCAACTGGTCGTGGAACTGATCAGGCATATGGCACTCGAAGTAATCTTCGCTGACGTCGATTTCTCGCTCTCATCATAGCGGCAGTCAAAACAGTATAACAGGCGTTAACCCATCTTTCATAGATCATACGAAAGACAAAAAAGTGCTCGTGATTTAACTGAATAAGAAGAAATTATAAGCATCACCGTGATCGTTATTGACAATGCTTCAACGGGACGCATTTTTTTTTTAACGTTTGTTTTCCTTTTTCAGCTCACTGCTCTCTCCCCATAGCACGTCGATAAACGTGTGTCTGGTTTATCAAAGTGTCATCACTAACATTTTTTTCACCTAGAGTGACCCTGATAGTTGAAACCAAAAGTTTGCTTTCCGGTTGCAGTTTCAAATTTTCTGTGGTTATTTAGCGGCAAAGTTGAAAACTTTGCCCAAGTGCGACCCACACCTACCTGGGAAAACATCGAAATCTCATGTTATTTAAATGATCTAATTACTGCGCGCGAAACGCACCCAAAACGTTCCCATCGTTCGTGCCAAGTATTCTTGTGATTTAGCTGTATCCTGTGGTAATTTAATCATCTTCTTTAAAAAATGAAACTAAAAGAGCTTTTATACCTCTCCTGTATGCATCCGCTTGTGTTCAACGAGCCGGATCTCCTTACCAAACGTTTTTCCGCACCCTTCGAAATCGCACACGTGTGAACTCTGAGCAGCCATTTTGTTTATGTTTGTAAAAGCCGCTGACCAGCATACAGCAGACTCGAGTTACCCACAAGACCTAGGACGGAAGGCGGACGGAAGCATCTGGAAACAAGGCTTTTATCGAAATGGCGGTCGAAATGTTTGAGTAACATCCATCTCATTCGTGCCGTAGAGATCAAGTGTGATGGCAGATCCACAAGATGATGAAAACAGTCATGAACGTGATAATGGAAAAAATCGTTATTTGAGAAACGAGGGTTTCGCTTCATATGCTTTAGTAAATGCAAACTATTGTTATCAAATGTCGCTATGGTGGTGGAACACGTATTTGTATAATTTACATGCTCAGTTTCCGGATCAGAACTGTGAGTGTGTAGAACAGAGTGCGATCGGGGAAGATCAGTGTGAATGCTGGCAGAATTATGGTGGATTAGAGACCCGAATTGATCAAATGAACTCTCCCAGAGACTGTGCAGAATCAATTTATTTTCGTGGTACACCATGGCAAGGGTTACCAGGTGAACATTCAGTAAGTAGTAAAAATCATCCTGATTTTATTTCCAAGGGAGATCTTATATCTGGTGATGAAAAAGGTGCATATGGAGATGAGGATTTTGGTAACCATAGTAACAGTGTGAATGATGGATATGGTAATGATGATGTTGACGATGATGATGATGATGATGAGGGCAGTGATGTTGAAATGGAAGTCGATGAAAACTTCAGGAAGTTTTTGGAACAATCAGAGAGACACAGACAAGAGCGGGAGCAGAGTAAGTTAATTGTTTTCCTTTGGTTCCTTATATTTGTTAATGATCTATCTTTCCTGTGCTTGTATGATTTTTTCAAAGAATAGTTGTTGTTATATTAAGATGAAACATCTAGGCTGGTGTATTTGTCTAATTTTGGATTACCTGTTTTCTCGATAAGGTATTGTTATTGTGAAAAGAATTTTGTTGTCAGTACATTTTGGATATTGTAGGGTTTCATGAGATGATCAATTTGAAGCTTCAAAATCCCCCTGGGCAACCTCCTGGGCATTTGAAATTTGCAGATTGGTTTGTTCAAATTTCTGCCCTGTAGGGCAAAAATTGTTTTTTAATGCCCCACCCATTTTTTTTTTTTTTTGTTTTTTTTCTGTGAAAGGCAAAATCAGCAACTGTGGCTTTCCACATATTGACTGATCTTAAAAGCCTAGACCTGACAATTAAAAGCCTAGACCTGACCTTTTATCCACAGCCATTCAGTCAGGAAAGGGAACTATTTACCTCCATATTTTAGATACAACACTTGTATTACGCTGGAAACACTTGACACTTCTGGTTTGAATTTCCTACCCCAGCAAGGAGAGGTTCAAAACCCCCTCCCCCCCCCATGCATGGATGACAGTGAACTTCCAGGGTAGGGGCTGGGTATGTTGAAGCTTCAAATTAATCAGCACATAATTTGCAAAGTCTTAATACCATTGTCAGACTCCAGTGAAGGTTATTTTGATATGGTCTCATTCAAGGCACTTGACTTCCACAATGCCTACCTTCTAATAAGAATATAGAGCGAATTATAGTGTCTCAAAACACAATGAAACATTGGATAAGGAAAGGCATTCCTTTTAGAAAGAAAAAAGTTGAGTCTACACTGGAGCCAAATAGACTATCCAACTTGTTCTGGTTTCTTTGGCATGAAATGACAAGGTACATTGCCAAATTTTCATTGCCAATATTAAGTTTTCTTTAGTTTAATTTAGTTTGGTTTAAGTTTAAGTTTAAAGTTTAATTCATTCGCCACAGGAATGGCAGGAGAAAGGAACAGAACTTTCATTCCAATTGACACCTAACCTCTTTTTTTACCCACCCATCCCACCCCGGGGAGGACATCCATCACACAGTAATCTCGTCTGTGGGAAATTAACGTCTCCTACCCCAACCCTGCAGGAGACAGGACCTCCATTTATCGTCTCTATCCGAGAAGACTAGAAAGTCTAACCATTTGCAGATATTATTACAAAGGCAGCACTTTCTTCTCAGTTAACATTCTTACCTTTTGTTGACAGAGGATGCGGTCTGGATCAGTTGATAACTCTGTATTTGCAATATTATTTTTTATGGCATATGAACAAAATATGACAAATTACAATATATCAATGATACATCTGCTTCAGCTAAACTTTAAAATCATATTCTGTTACAAGTCTGTTACTACTTATCTGTAGAAGCCAAACTGGGATAATTAATGATATTAACCAAAAACCAAATTCAATATTTTTTTTATTACACATTTTTTAAACAGTCTGAAAAACAAAACACCCCTCTCTTAGTTAGCAAAAGTTTGAGAACACCCTACAGATAAAAAGCTTGGAAACTAAGCAGACTTTAATAAATGTAATATCTACCACAGATGTTGCATAAATTATCATGTCAACTTTACAACACACTATTGTATTTTGATTAAACGCTCTTGACCAATCAGATTTTTCATAGTAATTTCATGTTGTCTGTTGTTTTTCCAGGGAAGCAAGAACTATTGGAAGAGAATGGAGATTACATTGAGGGTGAGTGTATCGTGATCATTTGTAGAAGCATGTAAAGAAGTAAGTCATGTCAAGTCTGCGAGGGACCAAGTGACTCCTTCTACGGGAGCTTATCTTGGTTTATGTAGCAGGAACTGATTATTTGAACTTCTAGTCCTCTGCAGATAAATGATATGTGTAATTACCACATGATTTGGTGCAGTGGCCTCATAGGTATTGTGCTTAACTCTGGATCAAGTGGTCCAGGTTTTAGTCTTGGCTGGGAACATTACGTATGTTGTGTTCTTCGGTAAGACGTAGTCTCACAGTGCTTCTCTTCACACGGGTGTTTAAATGGGTACCAGCGAATTTAATGCTGTGGGGGAACCCTCTGATGGACTAGCATCCCATCTAGGGAGGAGTTGAAATACTCGTAGTCACTTCATGCTAAGGAAACGGGAATAAAGGACCAGCCTTATGGGCCACTTAGCTTGTAAACAGACTTTGCATTTTTTTACATGATTAACCAGGTTTTAGACAGTTTCCTAGTACCAAATTCTACTCTTTGGTGGAGAGAGGCAGGGTGAGTGTTACTAAGGAAATCACAGAACCATGGAGCAGGTGGTAATTTTTATCTTACTGCCATTCTCGTATTCTTTTTGTTGACCTGCTCACATTTCTGCATGTTGTAGAGCTAGTTGTCAGTTCTTCCACCCTGTGCTCACAGAGAAATAGAGGATATGGCCGCGCGGGGATACGAATTTTATCTTCTCGTGCTGAAAGTATCTCTCACGAGTGAGCGCAGCGAATGAGTGAGAGATACTTTCAGCACGAGAAGATAAAATTCGTATCCCCAAGCGGCCATGTAATGCTCTGTTTATTATATAGATACTGATGAAATTTCCATATAAAAGACAACTTTTTTTTATTCATTTTCAAAACAGCAATTGGGTAATTATTTTGGTAACCATGGCCACACCAATATCCTCACACGTGAAAGATAAAATAGTATCTTCACTGCGTGCGGTGAAGATATGATTTTTTAGTAAAAGGAGAAATCCTGGTATTTCATCAGTATCTATATTGTAAATGACCAATAACTCACATTAACATGGAGGAATGGAGGTGGATATGTTGAAGCAAGTTGAAGACGATAAAATGTGGCGAACACTAAAATATGTGAAAAAGTGTAAACAATATACAATGGAAGAGAATAAAATAATAAAATAATAAAATAATCGTAACATGAATTGTTCTAAACCAATAGTTTGGCGCAAATTGAATCGCACTGTTTGTTTAACGTTGGTTTCAGTTCTTTGATAAAAAAAATTTCAAAAACAAGGCAGTCAAATTTGTTCTGACACTTTCTTAAGATTCGAAAATTCTGTGTGATGTCAGTGCAATGTCAGTACGATTCAAATTCTGTGTAATGTCAGTGCGATTCAATTCACGCCAAACTATTTGTTTAGAACAATTCGTGCTATGATTATTTTATTATTTTATTCTTTTATTCTTTTATCCTCTTCCATTGTATATTGTTTACACTTTTTCACATATTTTAGCTTTCGCCACATTTTATCGTCTTCAACTTGCTTCAACATATTTATGCTGATTTGGAAAACTTACTCACTTGAAAATGACCTCAGAGAAGTCGAAACGTCGTGAGTTCTTAGCGCTAGCTTTTATTTCAAAGTCGATTTCTAAGAAACTACTTATTAAGAATGGAGGTGGGTTGGCAAAAAGAAAATGGGAGTGGTGGTGGGACAAAAGATTGAACCCTTTCAGAGTAGTGCCTTTCCTAAGAACAAAGCACAATGACATGGTCAATTCTTTTGTCCATCAGAACAATGCACTAAGTATAAGGCCTCACCATTTCCCACTTTTGAAGAATTTGTTCCATTTTTCTCAATCTAGTCATCTTTTTTTTTGTCGATCAGTTGGGTCAGTTCATTTGAATACCACCACTAGTGCTCCAACAGAACAACCAGGTTCAAAGAGAAAAGAGGAGATGTCAACACTCTATGGAAAACATGCCTATAAGATCATGGCTCTTGAAGCATCACTTCAGCTGAATTACAACAAACAGTGTGATGCAAGACAACCTGTTTTTTGGCCTAGTATTCCTTTGAGGTTTTAACGGTATAAAACATTTTACATTTGTAAATAAATAAACCTAAATTTAAAAAAAAAAATGAGGTTTACTTTCGTATAAATCACCCTATTACGCACTCACTAAAATTTCTCATTCCTGATTGGCCCGTGTCAAGTGCATAAATAGGATATAGAATGCACTGTAAACTTTATACATTGCGCTGGTTTAAAATTAATTGCCTTTTATCGACACATTTTCTCCGCATTCTGTTATCTCTTCATTTTGAAAATTCCGAAATTGACTGAAAGGTTACTGACCGACTGATGAGCTCTACATCACACTCTAAGGTTTAATATTTGGTAAATGTTTAGTTGACTCCTTTTATTTAAAATTACTTACAAATCTAACGTTACGTACGATGCACGATCCTCGCAGTAGAGAGCGCTATTTGTGCAATAGCGAAAATCAGACCTGAAAAAAGTCAGGCCTGTACGGGATTCGAACCACTGACCTCTGCGATACTAGTGCAGCGCACTACCAATTGAGCTAACAAGCCAACTGGGAGCAGGCCGTTAAGTTCATTCGTAACAAACCCGTGATGATAAATCTAACGTTACTTACCTACTTAATAAAATTTTACATAATTGAAAAATAATCGAAAGGAGCCACAAAATATCACCTACAGACCGCCATGGGACAAACGAAAATTGAACATGCCTGTTGCATTCGAATTCGCAGGCGGCCACTAATTCCGCAAAGGCATATTATGGACTCACTTTTAAATCGCTCAGACAATGATAAAACGGGGTCTAAACACAGGGAAAAAGCACCAACATTTTTTCTATTCTTTTCTCGTGGTGGGTAAGAGGGCTTTTCGTCATGAGCCGGAAAGTGACGACTTATTCCCTGAGAGACTACAGAAAACATGGAATGTTGAAATCTCTCATTCAAGCATATCCTCGCAGTGATTACGTTTCTGTTTTTTGGGCACAAGTTTGCTCTCAAGAGACTGGAATGTTTTGCAACCATTGTTTCTAGGTCATGTAGGTTTAACTGTTCTTTATATAGATAAAGTTTGGTTGCGATGAATATATGAAGTTCATATATTTTGAACTGCGGTTATAGATACGTATGATGCACGATCCTCGCAGTATCTGATTTATCATCACGGGTTTATTACGAATCAACTTAACGGTATCTGATTTATCATCACGGGTTTATTACGAATCAACTTAACGGTATCTGATTTATCATCACGGGTTTATTACGAATCAACTTAACGGTATCTGATTTATCATCACGGGTTTATTACGAATCAACTTAACGGCCTGCTCCCAGTTGGCTTGTTAGCTCAATTGGTAGAGCGCTGCACTAGTATCGCAGAGGTAAGTGGTTCGAATCCCGTACAGGCCTGATTTTTTTTCGGCCTGATTTTCGCTCTTGCTTATATAGCGCTCTCTACTGCGAGGATCGTGCATCATACATATATAAAGTTTGCCAGGATTTTAGTGAAACAAGGGCGCGTACGAATTTTTCCCCCGAAAGACACCGCGAAGGGGGGAAGTATTAGTTTTTAATAAAGCTGTCATCAAAGAAATGTTTTTTGAAGCACTTAAATGAAGTAAAGCTTAAGTCTCTTATCGGTGACTGTACTGCGATAAAACTTAATTACCACATTTTAGCGTATTCTGAGATCTATTAAGTGAACGGACCTACTGCAACACAGAATCTATCTATTTATACAACAGAGATAAAAATTTTGTCAGTGATAACGTGACTCAGTATTCGGCTGTCTTTCAGTAGATTACTGAGGGCGCTATTTGGGGTTACAAATTGCACGGATGTAATGAATCGAAAAGACAATGGTCAACTGATGTACTGAAATATTGCCACGTATAGTATTTAAAGTCCTCCTTCCGAATCATTTGCCGTATAGTATTTATAGTCCTCCTTCCAAATCATTTGCCCGGGGCGTTTCAATTATTCGTTAAGAATAGTCTTTCACTTTGATTCCGACTTTTGGTAAGTACTTTTTAGGATTTTAACCTCACGTCAGTGCTTTTTTCCCCTATTGAGCGATACCTGAAAACATAATGTGTACGTCATAGAATACACTGTATGTCATAGAATACACTGTACATCATAGAATACACTGTACGTCATAGAATACACTGTATGTCGTGATATACCAGCACTGTATTGCATAAGTTAACAGAACTTAACAAAGAATTACGATGGAAACGGGTATAGTAAGCGCTTAACTGCCAGAAGAACATTTAACACGCAAATCGTTTTTACTTCACTAGCCTACCTTCAGTCGTGTTTGGGATAAAAAAAACATAAAACAGCGGCGCAAATTAACTTAGTAATGAAACACCGATCATGGAAAACTGATTGCGCGCAAAAAGCTCAGAGTCAGTGAACTGTGTACACTTATTCCGTCATGGTTGCTCTAGCGGCAATAGAGAGAAATGAAAAGGCGCTTAGATCAACTTGAGCGCTATTGGTTCACAGGAAGATTAGTCAATGGTTTCAATTCGAAACTACTTCAGAAGTTAAGCAAGGTTGATTTAAATGTATTCCATTCTTTTCAAACACTTATTCATCATTAAAAGCTTCAGTAACCTTTTTGATATGGAGACTGAATGTGATTGACGCATTGAAAAACTCAGCCACGCTATCACCCTTCTCGTTCATTGGCATTTAAAGCAAAGAGTAAAGTTTTATTGTTACTAAAAGTAAAAATTGCTTTGAAAAATCTAATAATAAGAGATTTTGTAAAAACACTTAGGATAAAAGGGAACCATAGGGAAACATAACGTTTGGGTGACGTCATGTGACGTCATGAAGATTAGAAAAAGACAAGAGATTACCGATGTTAAATGAAGAAATAGAATCGGTGATCATAACTTTCAAATGTGCAGAAAAAAATAATAGAGTAACTCAGTAAGCCAAAGGTTTTGTTGGAGCGGAGCCTGTTTGAGCATAGTTCCCTCGATTAACTATGGTTTGAGAGTCCAGGGTTGGTCTCTTTCCTTAGTAACTAATATCTCGAAAATGATTCACTCAAACTTTCCTTGACACTTCTTAGCTTTAAAAGTAATTTTCTTATTGAGCGTGTGGTATGAACAGAAGTTCAGGATAAAAAACGTTCTGGTAAGCCGCCCTTGATTAGAAGCCGCCTTTGAGTAGAAGCCGCAGAAATTTCGTGAAAAGGAAAAATAGAAGCCACCCTTGAATAGAAGCCGCAATAGAAATGAAGTGGTACTTTTCAAGACAGCTCAGGAGCCATTTTCAATGCGTTACCAAGTTATCTGCGGAACCGTACGGACTTTCGATCTTTTAAGAGTAATTTGACATCATATCTTTTTAATAACGCTGGAAAGAGATTAGAAACATGAATCTCAGGCCTTTTAGCTTGTCTATAATTTAATTCTTAATTAGAATGTGATTTACTGTAAAATTATATGATATGGCGTAATTAGAATAGTATAGTAATTTTAGCATAGAAGAGCCAATTCATTTTTGGAATGCTAATAAACCTTTATTATCATTATTATTAATTATTATTATTTATTATTATTATCATTATTATTATTATAAAAACGAAAAATTGTTTCATTATAACATGATTTCTATTTCACCTTCTTCAACGATTTTATCTGTTAAGTTCTCTACATTATCCACATTATACATCTTACTTTCGTGTTGAATGTAGCTAGTCATCTAAGCTAGGTGGGCATTGGTACATGCCTGATGCTTGTATGTGACTCTCCCAACAACACTCTAACTTCCTCAGTTGGTTGGCCCTCTCCAAGACAATGAATTTTGTTAGGGTCACTCGTAGTTATTCTACATTTATAGACACAATTGACTACTTCACACATGAAAACTATGGCCTTCAAAATATAGAAGTCGCCCTTGAATAGAAGCCACATTATTTTCCATTTTATCGTAGCACGTATGCAAGTGAATTCTAGCGGTACATGAATCGGGTAAACCAAAACATTAATTCATTCCACATTTTGTATTGTCCAACAACTTGTTTCAATGTTGGTAAATAAAAGACTCCTCGCTGTAATCCGCACTGAGAATACAAGCTGACTGTAGAAAAGCCGGCTCACCGACCTCTACCAAAAAGAAGCTATGCGGCAACTTTCTGACACCTCTTTTTATCAAAAGATCGACAAAGACCTCACTGCCAGCAATCACTGAAAACACCGTCAAGAATACGATCAACCAACTCATAACTAAACAAGAATTGCCGGCCACAGCAAAAATTCTCATCATAACCACTCCTAGAACTTCTTGTATTTACTTTTTACCTCAAATTCACAAACCTAACAACCCGGGTCGGCCCATTGTCTCGGCTTGCAGTTGCCCTACCGAACTTATCTCCAGCTATCTAGACAAAATTATGGCTCCCATCGTCAAAACTTTACCATCATATATTAAAGACAGCCAACACGCTCTTCAAATTTTTCGCGACTTTAATTTCCTTGGCCAAAACAAACTTCTTTTCACCATGGATATTACGTCTCTTTACACTGTCATTCCTAATGGCGAAGGCCTTCTGGCCCTTAAACATTTTTTTGATCAACGTACTGTTAAGGAACCTAAATCTGAAACACTACTACGCTTAGCCGAACTAGTGCTCACACTCAATTGTTTTTCATTCGGAAACAACTTCTTCAAACAAACCAATGGTGTAGCCATGGGCACCAAAATGGGACCTAGCTATGCCAATCTTTTTGTAGGTTTTGTCGAACATCAATTTTTCAGCCAATACAACGGGTCCAAACCTGAACTCTACGGTCGCTACATCGACGACTGTATCGGCGCTACCTCCTCTACCAGAGAGGAGCTCACTCAATTCATAACCGCAGTCAATTCTTTTCACCCGGCTCTGAAATATAC